CCTGATAGCATGCCTGAAGTATGAGAGCAGAAGTCTAGCTATCATGGCTTCTAAGGAACAGGTACTAAGTAGGTATAAATATTGTGTACATGACATAAATGACTTTTTAAGATATTAATGTATGCTTGGATAAGGTCTCTATTGGTTGAGATGTGTCACCTACAATCACAGACAAACACACTTCGGAAATAATTTGCATAGTATTTTTTTCTTAAAAAATGTACTAATACATGAATTTATTTCTGAGGAAGGTAAAATGAGATTAAGTTTTTGCTTAACAGTTAAGAACATAAAACATTTTTAATTATTTTAGTTACAAGCAGCCTTGAAAATTAGTGCAAATTATACTTGCTAAATTAAGAATGTACTATAATCCTAGGTAAAATAAAAACCACCACAAATAATTTCAATTAAAACAAATTAAATTGTCTGTTACACAATTTTACAGTGCCTATCTATGTGTGTTCCACCATTCATTTGTCAATTTGTGGTGGCTTGTGAGCTGGCTGTGATTCTGAGAGCTATGCCACTGGTACTTTAAATACCAGAAGGGTCACCCATGGTGTACAGGTTTCAGATGAGCTTCCAGACGAAGACAGACTAGGAGGAAGGAGTGATGAACTACTTCTGAATATTTAGTCATTGAAAACCTTATGAATAGCAGAGAAAAACTCTCAGATATAGTGCCGAAAGATGAACCCCTTAGATTGGAAGGCATTCAAAATGTGACTACTCAGAGTAGAGTTGACTGGATGACGTGAATGGAGTAAATCCTGTGGGAGAAAAGCCCATGGGACCTTCATTTGTTGATGGGGCACAACTCAAAATGAAGAGAAACAACTGTAAACATCCATTAATAATCAGAACATGTATGAATTATGAATCTGGGAAAACTGGAAGTTGTCAAAATGAAATGGAACATGTATACATCAATATTGTAGGCATTAGTAAGCTGAAATGGACTGGTATTGGCCATTTTGAATCTGACAACTACATGTTTTACTAGGCTAGGAATGACAAATTGAAGAGAAATGGTGTTACATTCAATATCAAAAAGAAGATATCCAGATCAGTCATGAGGTACAGTGTTGTCTGTGATAGGATAATATCAATGCACCTACAGGGAAGCCCAAGGAGCTCTGGTAGAGTAGTGGTTATGAGTTTGGCTGCCAACCTCAACGTCAGCAGTTCTAAACTACCAGCGGTTCCACAGAAGAAAGATGAGGTGCTCTGCTCCCGTAAATATTTACAGCCTCAGAAACCCTGTGCAACATCACTATGAGTCAGAACAGACTCCACAGAACTAACCAACAACAACCAACAGGGAAGCCTGGTTAATACCACTATTATTCAAATTTATGCACCAACCACTAAAACCAGTGAGGATGAAACAGAATAATTTTACCAGCTTCTTCAATCTGAATTAATCCAATATGCAATCAAGCTGTATTGATCATTAATGGTAATTGGAATGCAAAGGTTGGGAGCAAAGAGGAAGGATTAGTAGTTGGAAAATATGGCCTTGGTGATAGAAATGATGTTGGAGATCGCATGTACAATTCTGCAAAATCAATGATTTTGTTCATTTCAAATACCTTCTTTAGACAGCATTAAGAGACGTCTATACACATGGACCTTACCAGATGGAATACACAGAAATCAAATTGACTACATCTGCTGAAAGAGTGATGGAATAGCTCCATATCATCAGTGAAAACAAGGCTGGGGCAGACTGTGGAATAGACCATCAATTGCTCATATGCAAATTCAAAAAGAAGCTGAAGAAAATGAAAAGAAGTCCATGAGAGCCAAAATATGACCTTGAGTATATCCCACCTGAATTTAGAGATCATCTGAAGAACAGATTTCATACATTATACACTAAAGACCGAAGACCAGAAGAGTTGTGGGAAGACATCAAGAACATCATACATGAAGAAAGCAAAAAGTCATTAAGAAGACAAGAAAGAAGGAAAAGGTCAAGATGGATGTCAGAAGAAACACTGAAACTTGCTCTCAAGTGTAGAGATGCTAAAGAAAATGGATGAGGAGGTACAAGAGCTGAACAGAAAATTTCAAAGTTCAGCTTAAGAAAATAAAGCCAAATATTACAAAAATATATTCAAAGATCTGGATTCAGAAAAGTGGAAGAACACGCTCAGCATTTCTCAAGCCGGGGGAAATGAAGAAAAAATTCAAGCATTGACTATCCTTACTGAAAGATTTTCTGGGAAAATTATTGAATGATGCAGAAAGCATTAAAAGAAGATGGAAGGAATGCACAGAGTCAATGTACCAAAAGGAAATGGTTGATGTTCAACCATTACAAGAGGTAGCATATGATCAAGAGTCAATGATACTGAAGAAGGAAGTCCAAGGTGCACTGAAGGAATTGGCAAAGAACAAGGTACCAGGAATTGACAGAATAAAGATGGAACTCTTTCAAGAAAGTGATGTGGCACATGAGGCACTCACTCATCTATGCCAAGAAATTTGGAAGACAGCTATCTCATCAACTGATTGGAAGAGATTTGTATCTGTGCCCATTCCAAAGAGAGGTGACCCAACAGAGTGCAGAAATCATCGCACAATCTCTTTGATATCCCATGCAAGTAAAGTTTTCCTAAAGGTAAAACAGAAATGACTGCAAGCATACATTGACAGAGAACTTCCAGAGGTTCAAGTCAGATTCAGAAGAGGCTATTGTTGTTATTGTTAAGTACTGTGGAGTTGGTTCTGACTCATAGTGACCCTTCACAGGGTTTCCGAGGCTATAAATTTTTATGGGAGCAGAATGCCTCATCTTTCTCCCATGGAACTGTTGGTAGTTTCGAACTGCCAACCTTGAGTTTAGCAGTCCGATTCATAACCACTATGCTACCAGAGCTCCTTAGAAGAGGTCATGGAATGAGTGGTATCATTGGTGATGTCCAATGGATCTTGGCTGGAAGCAGAGAATGTCAGACAGATGTTTACCTTTGCTTTATTGACTATGCAAAGGCTTTTGATTGTGTGGATCATAAGCTATGGACAACATTGCGACGTATGAGTATTCCTGAACACTATAATTGTGCTCATGAGGAATCTGTACATGGACCAAGAGGCAGTTGTTCGAACAGAACATGGGAACTCTGAATGGTTTAAAATTAAGAAAGGTGTGCAACAAGGTTGTATTCTTTCACCATACTTAGTCAACCTATATGCTGAGCAAATAATCCAAGAAGCTAGGTTTTATGAAGAAAAACGTGGCATCAGGATTGGAGGAAGACTCATTAACAACCTGTGATATGCAGATGATACAACCTTGCTTGCTGAAAGTGAAGATAACTTAAAACATTTATTGATGAAGATCAAAGAGCACAGCCTTTGGTATGGATTACATCTCAATGTAAAGAAAACAAAAATCCTAACCACTGGAACAATAAACAACATTTTTATCAATGGAGAAAAGATTGAAGTTGTCAAGGACTTCATTCTTTTTGGATCAACTGTCAACACTCATGGAAGCAGCAGTCAAGAGATCAGATGACATGTTGCATTAGGCAAATTTGCTGCACAAGACCTTTTTAAAGTGTTGAAAAGCAAAGATATCAGCTTGAGGACTAAGGTGCACCTGACCCAAGCCATGGTATTTTCAATAACCTCATATGCGCGCGAAAGTTGGACAGTGTATAAGGAAGACCACAGAAGTTATTAATGCATTTGCGTTATAATGTTGGAGGAGAATAGTGAAAGTGTCATGGGCTGCCAAAAGCACCAATAGATGCGTTTTGTAAGCAGTGCAGCCAGAGTGCTCATTGGAGGCCAAATGGCCAAACTTCATTTCTCATACTTTGGACATATTGTCGGGAGGAACCAATCGCTGGAGAAGGGTATCTTGTTTGATAGGGTGGAGGGTCAGAGAAAAAGAGGAAGATTCCCAACAACATGGATTGGCCAAGTGGGAGCATCAGTGGACTCAAGCATGGCAACAATAGTGAGGTTGGCCCAGGATCAGGCAATGTTGTTCTGCTCTGCGTAGAGTCACTGTGATTTGGTACCGAATTAATGGCACCTAACAACAACAACATCTATGTGTTTTATTTTATCTAATTTGCAAAATTAGCTCAAACTGCAACAGAGCCACAGTTGTGAAAATGGTGTAGGCCCAGGTAGGGTATCATTTTCTTTTGCACAGACTAAGTCCAAACCAACTCTTTGGCACCTAACAACAACAACAACAAGAAGTACAAAATGAAAGCTACAGGACAAAGAAGAGATACAATTTGATCTTCAGAAAACAACTCTAAAATTCAAAACTTAGTAAATATGACCTGTAATGATTAATTTTTTTTCTTTAATTATCAGATTAAAATGCTCCCACTTGCCTGTTTTTGTTTTTGTTAGTTGCCATGGAGATCATAGCAACCATATGCACAACAGAACAAAACATTGCCTGGTCCTGACCAATCTCACAATTGTTACCATGCTTGTGCCCACTGATGCTGCCACTTTACCAATCCATCTCACTGGGGGTCATGCTCTTTTTTTAAAAAAAAAAACCCGAAAACGTGTATATGACAATTAACAAAATCTTTATTTATGATGTTTAAACAATTTATATATTCCTTTAGAAAGCCAATAAAATGGAATACTTAAATAAAATAATAGAAATAAATCAGCAAGTATACTGACAGATGAACATAAAAGTAGTTACTGCTAAACTTTTTTCTGGTTATTAATGCACATTATGAAGAAATTGTTAATTTAGTAATATCTTGGGTTTAATATAAATTTTGATTTTAAATTCTTGTAAGGACCAACTTTGGTTTTAGTTACATTTTTTTCCCATATTTTCCATCTTAAATGAAAATTATTTCCTGCAGTTGATTGCAATTAAAATCTATCACCAATTTTATGCTTTAAAATTTCACTATATTGGTTTGGCACTAGAATCATATAATATTAGCAGAAAAGTGGCTACTCCAGCGTGAATGCTTTTACAAAATAAACATGCCTACCATGGTTGTCTCCGCGATAGAGCCAAAGCTGTTTATGAAAATGTTGCATGTAACATTCACTGGAGGGCCTGAAAGAGATTAGAACATAGGTCTGTTTAGATATTTATCTAAAATACTTTAAAATTATTCAAACTTCTCATTTTATTGATCTAAAATTGAAAAAAAAAAAAGAACATTTCTTAATATGTATAAGGCTATGCATGAAAATGTATTGCTAGCAGGCTTCCTCTTTATACATACACATTTTTATTCAAAGTGAAATGTGTTTAAAGATATCTCTGCTATCAGTAGACAGCTGCAGATAAATTCTGTCGGTAGTACACATGTGTTAGCATCATTAGGGTGTCTTCCAAAATAAATAAATAAAAGGTCCACTCAAAACAGTAGCTTCTGAGGGCATCGGTTGACCCAATTAAAGTCAAGGCTCAGAAGTCACCTCAGAAGTATATAGTGCCTTGTTTCCCACATTCAAAGGGCTATTCTTAATAGATTGTCTGAAAGGACACAGGTTGATTATGGGGGCTAATTATAAAGAAATTTCAAGATAATTTAAAGTTAAATTGGTGAGTGAAAGGCCAGAAATATTGTGCAAAGGATTTAATTTTTTTTTCCCCGTCACAACAATACATTTGCTCATTCTCTGAGAGTAGCAAGGGTTATCGTATTAGAATTTCGTTAGGAAACTTTACCTCGTCTACTCAACAGCCCTAATAATGCCCTTTCAGACATTATTTTTGTATCCAAAACTCAAAGAAAATTAGAAATAAACACAGTTTGAGTTCCTTAAGGTTGCGAAAACTGTTGCTTTGATGTGGTGTAAATAGAAGAGCATATAATTCTTTAGGGAAGGATTAGAGAGATTGAAATACCTTTAGACCCAGATGGAAGATATGTTTAGAAACAATAGATAACATATTGATGCTTTTGTTTTATAAAGTTTTTTATTATTTTATATCAATATTTTTTTAATTATGACCATATATACACAAATGATAAAAAAATTAAGGTAATCATTGCATTTGTTTTTGTTGTTAAGCCCCATTGAGTTGATTATGACTCATAGTGACACTCTATAGAGTTTCTGAGGAGCAGCTAGTGGGTTTGAACTGCCAAACTTGCAGTTAGCAGTCCAGTGTGTATCCTATAGCACCTACAGTGTTAAACTATACCTTAGTCAGATAAATCTGTAAATAAGAACTGGTTTTAAGCCTATATTAATTTAGTTTATTTGACTTTTTCTTGCATATAATTTAGGAGTAAGTTGATTTTATAAAGTTCACACACACAAAACAAGAGGAAGCTCCATGCCCCTTTCACTCATATTTCCTCCCTAGAGATAATCACTTCAACTTGTTTAACATACACTGTTGGTATTTACCTTGATTTAAAATTTTTTGATTTTTATGTTGCTGTTTTGATTTCTTAAAATGCTGTATTTATAGTGGGACCCTTGATGATCTAATTTTAGGTACACAATCTAACTACCCATAATGGAAAATGAGAATTTAGCCTTCTTTATCACAGCATCTCACTTTTATTGACACAGCACTTTGTCTGCCCTAAAACAGGTGTAGTTCAATTGTCATTTTGGTTAGATCAGTGTTAAGTCTTTGCATTACTTTGACAATGTAAATATTATTCTTAACTAAGACAGTTAATATATTATTATTACTCTTCTTTTTGTACAGAATATTTGCCTGAGGCTATTGTATATTTCACATGCTTTTCTCTTTATCTGTGTCATTCATTTATTCTCAAGTTCTAGAAGGTCTAAATTCTGATTCAATATGTTCAAACATATCCAGTGTTCTATTAATTTTATCTTTTTTAAAACTTACTTCAATCAAGATATGTTCTTTTTTGTTTTTAATGTATTAGAAAGTATGCAATAATATTTATTGAAGAAAATATAATTAATATTTTAATAGTATTGTGGTAGAATATATATAGCAAATTTGTCCAATTCAACCATATTTAAGTGTACAATTCAATGACATGGATTATACTCACAATTTGTACAAACCATCACCACCATCTATTTCTAAAAATGATTTTCACCATCTCAAAAAGAAAATTTATACCCATTCAGTAATAATTATGTTTCACCTCCATCTAGTACCTGATGTTGTTAAGTGTTGTCAACTTAATTCCGACTCATAGCAACCCTCTGTAGTGTTTCCAAGGAGTGACTGGTGAACTTTATAGTTCAAACTGATGTATGATTAAGTGCTAATTCTATGCTACCACACCAGGACTTCATTATACTACTTTCTGTCTCTATGGATTTCCCTGTTATAGACATCTAATGTACTTAAGATATTAAGGCATTGCATTGTATCATAACTAACAATAGATAAATTGAGAAGAATAGATATTATGGAACACATAATTGTACTCATGGGGAACCTGTATATAGACAAAGATGCAGCCATTCAAAGTAACAGGGGATATTGAATGATTTCAATAAGGAAAAGTGTGCACAAGGGTTCTATCTTTTTACCATGCTTATTCAATCTGTACACTGAGCAAATAATCTGAGAAACTGGACTATATGAAGAAGAACATAGCATCAGAATTGGAGAAGGACTCTTAACAACCTATGAGATGTTGATAGCAAAACCTTGCTTGCTGGAAGTGAAGAAGACTTAAAATACATAATGAAAAAGGTAAAAACAACAACAACAAACACTATAGTCCTTGGTATAGATTGCAGCTCAATGTAAAGACAACAAAAATGCTCGCAAATGGACCAATAAATAACATCATGATAAACTGAAAATTTTGATATTGTGAAAGACTTAATTTTGTTTGGATCCACAATCAACACTCATGGAAACAGTAGTCAAGAAATCAAATGATACACTGCATTAGACAAATCTGCTGCACAAAACCTCTTTAACATACTAATTAATAAAGATACCTACCAGTTTGAGGATTAAGTATACACCAAGTCATGGTGTTTTCAATCACCTCATATGCATGTGGATGTTGGAAAATGAACAAGGAAGACTGGAGAAAACTTTATGCATTTAAATTATAGTTTTGACAAAAATATTGAAGGTACTACATAATGCCAGAAAAAAAAAAAAAAATCTTTCTTGCAAACAGTACAAAGAGAACTTTCCTTAGAAGCAAGGATGGTGAGATTTTGTCTCTCATTCTTTGAACATGCTGTCAGGAAAGATCTGTCCTTTGAGAATGACATGATGCTTGATAACATTGAGGGTCAGCAAAATAAAAAAGCAAATGTCCCCAAAAGATGAGCTGACACAGTGAGAGCAACAATGGGTTCAAACATAAAAATAATTGTGGCAATTATTTTTGGTCAGTCAGTGTTTTCTTTGTTGCACATAGGTTTACTATAAGTAAGAACCAACTCAATGATACTTAATAACAAGATAAGGTACCTAATATAAATGTACATAGTCCAAGAGGCAATTGTTTGAACAGAACATGGGAACACTGAATGGTTTAAAATTAGGAAAGGTGTGCAACAGGGTTATATTCTTTCACCATACTTATTCAATCTGTATGCTGAGCAAATAATGTGAGAAACTGGGTTATATGAAGAAAACCATGGCATCAAGATTGGAGGAAGACTCATTAACAACCTGTGATATGCAAGTGATACAATCTTGCTTGCTGAAAGTAAAGAGGACTTAAATACTTACTGATGAAGAACAAGGACTGTAGCCTTGGGTATGGATTGCAGCTCAATGCAAAGAAAACAAAAATCCTCAGAACTGGACCAATAAATAACATTATCGATGGAGAATAGTTTGAAGTTGTCAAAGACTTCATTTTTCTTGGATCAACCATCAACACTCATGGAAGCAGCAGTCAAGAAATCAAATGACATATTGCATTAGGTGAATCTGTTGCACAAGGCCTTCTTAAAGTCTTGAAGAGCAAAGATGTCAGCTTGGTATTTTCAATAACCATGGTATTTTCAATAACCTCATATGCATGCGAAAGTTGGGCACTGAATAAAGAAGACCTTAGAAGAATTGACACATTTGAGTTATGGTGTTGGAGGAGAATATTGACAGTGACATGGGCTGCCAAAAGAACAAACATATCTGTGTTGGAATAAGTGCAGCAATAGTGCTCCTTGGAGGCCAGGATGGCCAGACTTTGTTTCTCATACTTCGGATATATTGGCAGGAGGGATCAGTCACTGGAAAGGGATATGTTTGGTAAGGTTGAGGGTCAAAGAAAAAGGAAGACCCCCTGTGAGATGAATTGGCAAAGTGGAAGAATCAATTATGTGTGTGGCAACAATTATGAGGTTAGCCCAGGACCAGGCAGTGTTTTGTTCTGTGTTGCATAGGGTCACTATGAGTCGGTACTGACTTGATGGTACCTAACAAAAACAACAACAATATAAGTGTAATTGTGCATTTTTTAGTCCTTTTTGACTGACTTCTTTCACTCAGCATGTTTTTAAGTTTCATTCATGTTGTATTACAAGTGTGGGTTAGAATTGTTTAATTTTTATTGCTAAATAATATCTCCTTATGCATTTTGTTGTTATTGTGTGTTCTCTCAAGTTGATTCCTACTCATAGGAACCCTGTTGTTTCTGCCTCAAGAGCAGCTTTGAGTTTGAACTGCTAACCTTACAGTTACCAGTCTAGTTAGTGTGTATCCTACAGCACTATTTGTATATATACCACATTTTGTTTTGTAATTCACTTGAGTTGTTTTAACCTTCTGACTATTGTACAAAAGTGTTCATTGCAGAATTGTTCACAGTGGCCCAAAGATGGAAACAACATTGTTAGGGGAAAAATGAAGAACAAAAATTACTCAGTAGGTAGTACAAAAAAGTTTAAAGAAACTATGCACTTAATTATAAGCACTACATAACAGGATTGTCTCACCAGACATTCCTGAAAAAACGATTACAGTTCTTTTTGTTGTTTTTTTAAACATTCTATTAATTGGAAAAATTTAATAATAACATATGAAATTTCAATTTTAATTTACCTAATTACTGTCAGAAACTTTTCATCTTTATTTATTTGTATTCATAGTAAAAGCTGTCCATTTATTTTGATGGATACATA